GCCTTCATTTTCTACTCACCTCCATGCTGAACAACACTCTGGAGTACTTTTTTGATATCTCAAATGCATCTGGAGATCTGGGAGACTTCTTGCTGTCTGCTGACATTCAAATAATGGAGGTCTATGGCGCCCGAGACAGAAAGGTCCACAAAAGTCCACAAAAACTTGTCAATATTCCTCCATACTGCTCGTCCAATGTAATCCAAGTGTCCTGAGTGGGTAGCATCCAGAATTTACTCGAAACGAAGTCATTTAGAACGTTTTAGAGCCTAAACAGTAGTGTATAGGATTTCCTAATAGCGCCCCCATGCGCGCTCACGATTCTACGGAAGCCGGCAGACCAAACCAGCGCATTCAGCTCGGCAAAGAACTCATGCTCTTCCTCAACACTGAAGTCCTCAGACATTTTTCTTTCGTTGTTTCTTTCTTTGCACAGGTAAACAGCACATTTCTTCTTCTACGCTTGCATTATCGGCAGACCAGACGCTGAATGCGCACTTCCTTCCGGTTTGGTCTGCCGGCTTCCGTAGAATCGTGAGCGCGCATGGGGGCGCTATTAGGAAATCCTATACACTACTGTTTATGCTCTAAAAACATTCTAAATGACTTCGTTTCGAGTAAATTCTGGATGCTACCCACTCAGGACACTTGGATTACATTGGACGAGCAGTATGGAGGAATATTGACACGTTTTTGTGGACTTTTATGGACCTTTCTGTCTCGGGCGCCATGGACCTCCATTATTTGAATGTCAGCAGACAGCAAGAAGCCTCCCAGATCTCCAGATGCATTTGAGATATCAAAAAAGTACTCCAGAGTGTTGTTCAGCATGGAGGTGAGTAGAAAATGAAGGCTAATCATGTTTTGGGTGTACTATTCCTTTAAAGTAAATCTTCATCATTTTATTATTATAGTTTTTTGGTTTCATTTTAAAGTGATTTCAAAGTACATTACTTTCCCTTACTGGCTTGCAGACTTGGCTGGATTAACCCATCTATTTCTAAATGAAACAAACAAGCCCATCATTAGGACATGCCCTAATTTAGGGATTTCTTTGTGTAGGTTTAAAAAATGTGCAATCATAAGAGAAAAATAATAGAAATTATGTCACAAGCGTAACCCCATTTACATGTATGTTGGATGTAATAGCAGCAACCTTTAAACTCATGCTTTTCATCTTCTTTCAGTGTTTGCTTTGTAGGTATTGTAACATTTTGGTCAATATTTTTTATTGCTAAAGGCATTCCAAAAAAAGGTTTAGAAGAATTAAAAGATTAAAAAAACATAAACCTTAGATTTGCCTTATAGACTTACTGTCCACAAATTCTAGATCATGGACTGTCTTGGACTTGAAATCTTGTAAAGAAATCTCATAAACAATACAAATCTTCAAAATAAAATAATTTGCTGTCTTACTCATTATAGAATATATTATTCATCTTAATTCACTTACTCCGCTTCTCTTAATCTCATGTTTTATTTTGAAAAGTCATAGATAAAGGAGAAAATTAACATGTGAACCACATAATAAAGATGTGGATTATTTGTACGTGTTACTGTTTTTTCAAAACAAAAGCCCTTATGGTTGGACCTCAGTTAGAAGCGGTCTATTTCTGCTTGCAGTTGTTTAATCTAAATTAAATCCAACAATTTCTTTACATACTAAATTAAATGTTATGATAAAGGATAAAGATGATAATTGTTGATGTTTTAAGCTTAAGAACATAATTAACTTTAAAACATATTTAAATCCAAAGACTAAAGCACACAATAGAATGCCTTCATGAAATTATTTATGTACGGTAATCACACTGGAAATCTGGGGCTTCAATCTAGTTAACTCACGTTTACCTGTAGGATGCTGCAAAGGACCCGGAAGTAAGGTAACGCCACACCAGTATTAAAGTTTTTGCAAAACCTACCAATGGATTTTTTTTACATTAAATTTAAAGGTGCTTTTGATACAGTTTTGGAAGTAGTGAATATAATTTTTACCGTGGTTCCTACAGCTCTCTCAATTTCCCTGTTTTGGTAATGTAAATACAAATGATCATGACAATTTAAATTTACTTAAAAACAAATAAATCAGCCAGTGAGAAACATCCAAACGAGATAAGTTTGGCCCCCCTCAGAAAAATATTTTGAGTTATTCACAGTTTTTGTGGGTGTTAAGCCCATGTAATAACACTACAGAGGATCTTTAATGCATGAGAAAGGTCATCTGTCCTATCAGAATATGCATGTTTTCTCACAATTCACTTAAAAAACTTTTTTTTTTCCTGAGAAATAAAAAAAAGTTCAGAAGAGTTTTTAGGAGTTGGACAATATTGTCATAGCAAAAACATTTGGACAATTGAACACTAGCTATGTGTGCTTTAAAGAGGCTGACATTAACACTATAGAGGCTGCAAATCTTTCATACAAACACTAATACATTTCAAACATACATATAAAACAATCTTGTTTATTCTTTATGAGTTTAAACAAAGAAGAAAACATTTAGGTCTGAAAATAATCTCCCAAAACTTGTATTTGTTATAATCTTATGAAACCAAACTTCAACCCTTGAGCTATATTTCCTAAAAGTGCAAACAATGTGAAGAAGTTGTAAATAAATAAAGAAAAAACACACAGTGAAAAGACATCACAGCCAGAGCGAAACATGTTTTGGGGAGCATCGTATTCTAAAGTTGATTTTCTTCCGATTAAACTTTTGTTTTGCTTGTTCTGTCAAGGTGTACTAAAATATTGAAATGTTTAAATTATTGGGCCATTCTGACCCCAAACCCCCTTCTAAATGGAGATCTCAACTCAGATATAAAACAAATGTCATTCTGTTTTTGTTCATAATCCCATTCTTATCCCCTGTCCTAAACAGACTTTCTAAATAGTGGGGTTGTTATTTACATCATTGATTATGATAGTAGGAACAGTGGAACATCAAAGTCATTCTCTGTGTAGACAAACATGGCTGTTGAAGTTAATTCTGTATGATCAAGATGTGGCTTCTACATAAGAAGGCTAAATGCTTAAAGTGAAAACATTTTTTATATAAGTTTAATTGTGTGTTCTCTAAACATGTTACACAGCCTTTCTGTTTACATTTCTAAAATAGACTAATTATCTAAAAATACTTGTTTTAAATCTATAGAATATATTTATTACACTATAGATGAAAAAAGTGTTTTTAAATGACTTATCCTGGTTCAACTTTATACATCACTAAAACGTTTATTTTAAAAACGGTGGGGAAATTTTAGAGCCACTTTATTTGTATAGATTGGCTAAATAAAAAAACATTATAAAAAAAATTACATGTAATGTTCAGTCTGCTATAATTCCAATTTTTGAATATATATTGTAAAATTAATGTCGTCTTGTTGGGCACCAAAAACTGTCTCTAGCCCAGGGACCCAAACCACATTCGATCCGGCCCTGGATAATTTATTACATTTGAAGGTTTTCGCATAAAAGGCCCCGTCCACACGAAGACGAACCCTGGCCTAAACGCACAAATTTTTCACCAAACCAGCCTCTCATCCACATGAAGCCGGCGTTTCGGGGGTCTGTAAACGATCTTTTTTTTATTCAGCCTTCAGAGTGGGAAGATTCTGAAACGCCGTTTTCGCGTTTCCATCTTTACGCTCTAACCGCATATTTTTTTTACACGCATGCGTCATAGCGTCGCCTCTAAACACGCATGCGCTACACATCACAACAACAATGGCGCCGTTGCTGCTAATGCTACTCACCCTGTTGTCGGGCTTACAACAGAATCTTCTTCTTCTGGAAAACTCCAGGAAGAACAGAGCAATATCGACAACATAGTTCAGCACCTGAATTTGACTTAACCACGAAAATGGGCCCGCAGGGCAAACATGTATAAATGTTAGTGCGCATGCCCAACATTTCGTCGCTTATTTTTGCTTTGGCACCACAGCGCCACTTACAGGCCTGACATACATTTTGCAGCGTTTTCATGCATTCGTGTGGACGCTCACATTTATTTTACGTCTCCGTCTTTACGGCAAACGTTTTGGAAAATATCAGCGTTTCGTGTTCGTTTTGACTTCGTGTGGACGGGGCCAAAGTGCTCATGGATTTTGCAGTATTCAGGGGCGGAGCTAGATGGAAGGCCATGGCCACCCCTTAGCCAATCATTGGCCACCCCTGTGGCCACCCCTACCATTTTTCCCCTCTAATACAGACAGTGGCAGCAGTAATCCTCTCAAGTGGAATATTTAAAACATTTAAAATTTTCATATATTAACAATTACTTGACAGCAAAAACACTGTCGATAATTATAAACATTAAAATACTAGAATACTACATTTTGTATTTCATGGGGTAAAGAGAAAATGGTATAATCCACATAAATTGAAATAATCAATTTATGTAGATATTATGAATGATTGTTGATAAAAGTAGGTAAGTAAAGACAATGGATAAGATATTCGCCTCAGAAATCAATCCTGAAAGGATTTTATCCACTATACCTTTTATCTAGAAAGCACGGATGTATAAATATATGTGGCTATTTGTTAGCAAAGGCTGTAGGAAAGTATAGTTTGTCTTTATTTAGAAAAAAATGATGTTTTGCTCATTAATTTTCCTGTTGTAAGAGTGTAGGTTGACCCTGGGGTTCTGGTGCCACCCCTCAGTGTACATTGGTTATTGCCTGGCCACCCTAATAAACATTTTCTGGCTACGCCTCTGGCAGTATTTCAGGATTGAAAAAAAAAAAAACCCCAAAGAAACAAAAAATAAAGAAAAAGGAAAACATTAAAATTATAAAAGTTTCTTTATTCTTTGATTTTATCAAGTTTGTTGCAGAGAACAAACAAACAGCGAGTAGGAAGTTTGCAGCAAGGCTTTGAAAGTGCTGCACTGAACAAGCTGTTCCGCACGATTTGAAAATAATCTGCGTGTCAGTGTCGTCTTTCTTATGCAAAGCAGCTGTCTTTGAAGGCGGATCTTCTGGCAAGTTAGACCGGGACGGAGTCTCCGACCAGCTCAGACGAGCGCAGCCACCAAACGCATCGCGCGCCTGCCCCGGGGAGGAGCGTCACTCCTGCGTCTCGGGGACACTTTTCTTCCCATCATCGAGGAATTCCTTTTTATCTCACTTACTTTATTTTATTTTCGCACAAAGGGCTCAAAGAAAAACGTCAGTCATTTCTTTATATCCGCGATCATTTGAAAGTTGTTTCTCACGGACTGAAATCGCAGTGCAGCACGCACGGAGGGCACCCAGTGCCCAGAAAGTCTCTGTAAATGTGGAGGCGGACCAAACAGAAAGGAAATTTTAAAAAGCGCATGTGGTAATTCCATGCAAAGTGTGAGAGAGGAGTAAAAAAAACGATTTCAGCCCCAGAAGTGAACATTTGGAAGAGCATGGACCTGACAGCGCGCTTCCAGCCTGGAAACACTGTCTCTCCATCGCGGGGTTCCTGTTTTTGTTCAACTCTGAACTGAGGAGAGGATGATGTTGCAGTGGATAGTTAAGTAAGTTTTTTTCCTATCGACTACGATGTTGTTGTTGATTTGATTTCTTTATTTTATTTATCTATTTTTGGAGAGAAAATTTGCACTGAAGTGACTGTATTTTTCTTGAAGCAGAAAAGCCAGGATGAGTTCAGCTGTGAAGCCAAGCCCGATCCTCTCGGTTCTACTGCTGCTGCTGCTGTGGAGCAGAGCCAGCTTCTCCATCAGCTCTATAGATCCCGACTGGTCAGTAGAGGGGAGATGTCAGCACATCAACATCCCCATGTGTAAGGACATTGGCTACAACATGACTCGCATGCCAAACCTCATGGGCCACGATGATCAGAAAGAAGCTGAACTCAAGCTGCAGGAGTTTGTGACACTCATCCAGTTCGGATGCCACAGTCACCTCAAGTTCTTCCTCTGCTCGCTGCATGCTCCCATGTGCACAGAGCAGGTGTCTAACCCCATTCCAGCATGCAGGGTCATGTGTGAGCAGGTCAAGCTGAAGTGCTCCCCGATCCTGGAGAGTTTTAATTTTCCCTGGCCAGATTCTTTGGACTGTTCGCGTCTTCCGACCAAAAACGATCCAAACAACCTGTGCATGGAAGCGCCGACCAATGGATCGGACGAGCCCCCCAAAGTGTCCCACACTCAGCCTCCAGATTTTAGGCCTCAGCAGCCTCTGGGCGGGAAGGACCTGCACCTGAAGGACAGTGGTACCAAGCAAACATGCAATCCAGACAAATTCCACTTTGTGGAAAAGAGTCAATCCTGTGCCCCGAAGTGCTACCCCAAAGTGGATGTATACTGGAGTCAGGGGGACAAGCAGTTCTCCCTGATGTGGATGGCCATCTGGTCCATCCTGTGCTTTGTCTCCAGTGCCTTTACTGTACTCACTTTCCTTATTGACCCGCAGAGATTCAAGTACCCCGAGAGGCCGATCATCTTCCTCTCCATGTCCTACTGTGTTTATTCCGTGGGCTACCTCATTCGGCTTTTTGTGGGAGCCGACAGAATAGCCTGCGACAGAGACAATGGTGTGAATTATATTATTCAGGAGGGTCTGGAGAGCACCGGCTGCACCATTGTGTTCCTCATCCTGTATTATTTCGGCATGGCCAGCTCCCTCTGGTGGGTTATCCTGACCCTAACTTGGTTCCTCGCTGCTGGGAAGAAGTGGGGCCACGAGGCCATTGAGGCCAACAGCAGCTACTTCCATCTGGCAGCCTGGGCCATCCCGGCCGTGAAGACCATCATGATACTGGTGATGAGGAAGGTGGCTGGCGATGAGCTGACGGGCGTCTGCTATGTGGGCAGTATGGACGTCAAAGCTCTCACAGGCTTTGTGCTCATTCCTCTTTCCTGCTACCTCATCATCGGCACCTCATTCCTGCTGTCTGGCTTCGTGGCCCTCTTCCATATACGGAAGATTATGAAAACAGAGGGGGAGAACACGGATAAGCTGGAGAAGCTGATGGTGCGCATCGGCGTCTTCTCCGTCCTCTACACTGTCCCCGCCACCTGCGTCATCGCCTGCTATTTCTACGAGAGGCTCAACATGGACTACTGGCGCATACTCGCCGAGGAGGAGAAGTGTTTGGACGGCAGCGGGCCGGAGTCGGACGACTGCGTCATGAAGGCCTCCATCCCCGCCGTGGAGATCTTCATGGTGAAGATCTTCATGCTGCTGGTGGTGGGCATCACCAGCGGCATGTGGATCTGGACCTCGAAGACGCTGCAGTCCTGGCAGAACGTGTTCAGCAGGAAGCTGAAAAAGAGGACAAGGAGGAAGGCGGCCAGCGTCTTCACGAGTAGCAGGCCTTACATTAAGCCTCACCCGTCCCTCAAAGGGCACAACACCAAGTATGAGCCTACACGCCCCCCCCCAACATGTGTTTAAAGGAAGCCAAAACTAACTTTTATAATTTATGGCTCATGCATTGAGAACATATATTTGTTTTGTTTTGTTTTTTTCAAAAATGTCACCCAACAAAAGCAGCCTTTCTTTGTGGAAAATCTACTTTTCCTTTTAATCTCTTGTCCTTTTGAGGAACTTGGAATAAATAAAAGTATCCTTTGATTCCCTGGAGAATAAGAGCGGAGTAAACCATTTGAATGTACCTCGGCGTTATTCAAATAATGTGCAATAGATAATTTCGTTTCTGGCTAAAAGACACTTGTATTGCTGGAGGCAGATTATGGACAATGTTGGAGCCCCAGCAGACAACAGAAGCAAATGGTCAGAGAGATGAGTACATATTTCATCCCTTTTTCATGGAAATTCAGCCTGTGTCATATATGTTTGAACTGGACTGAAAGCAGCCGTTGAAAGGGGCTGAAGATCATGATGAAATAACCATTGTGAGGCGAATCCTCGCCCATAAATTAATCAAGCACTCTGTGTTGAAAAGATGTTTGCCTACAATGTTTTTCTGTTGTTGGTTTTTTTATTTCCTTGCTGTTTCATAGCACAAATGAGTGTTTGTATATATTTCCTTTTTTTTAAACAAAGTTGAAATTTTATAGAAAACTAAATAAAGAAAACATTTAGTTTTAATTGTTGCAAAGCTGGAATCAATGAGTGTTGATCTGACAGCCTTTCAAAGCTAATGTTTTCATGCTTTTAAAGGACTAAATATTTTAAAACATAACCTTTATTCCTACTTTATGAATTCTCTTAGACATAACCAAAAAAAAAATGTTTTTCAAAGGATTATTAGCTTTGCAGTTAACCTAACCTGGTAAATGTTCATGCACTAAGCCTCTGGGATAAAAATAACTGTTTTGCACCAGATATCTCGTTTTGTAGAAAGTGAATTGAGTTGCATGCAAGATAGTGGCATCTTCACTCATGTTGTTTATCCTTCATTTTGACTATATCAAAAGAAAAATGCAAAAATAACCTTTATTTTTGGAACAGATAAGACCGTCCGTGATTTGTTCACCTGCACAAGAATTTTTTTTTTTTCATTTATGTATCACCTTTCAATAGGAAGTAACAAAGAAAAGCATTTGTAGCCAAAGAAATATGGATCGTCCTGCTTAAAAGTTTAATATTATTGCTTTAAAAGTTGTATAATGTTTAGTTATTCTTACTAGTAAGTAAGACTGCGGCATTCTTGTTCCTTATTGTTTGGATTTCATAATTTTCTAAGCCGGTTTTTCAGTTCCTTACTGGTACGATACAGTAACAATATTAATCTTATTTATTGATTTTCTTATTTCTCCTTTTTCCAGGTCAGTTCATCTGCCTTTCTTAAAAAATTTTCGGCAGGATTAGCCAGTCTGAAGTGTGAGGAACACTTTAAAGCTAATTATGTATGTTGTGTCTTATTAGCAGGCTATCAGTGATATTTTTAGTAACTAATTTTTGTTGTAAAAAGCTGCTGCTTAAATTATCTACACAGGTTTTAAAAATAAATACACTGGTGCACTGCAAAAACGATCTAGAAATACGTAAAAATGTCTTGAATTAAGTGTATTCACCCTTAATTTGAGCAGGTTAATGAGATAGTTTGCCAATGGAATGTGTAATTTTAATCTTAAAATAAGATAGTTACATAATATGTACTTGAAATAAGACGATGCAATTGTGGTTTCATATTTGAAGTGTTAATTGTCTTGTTCCATTGGCAAAATGTCTCTTTTACCTCCTCAATTCAAGAACAAATGCACTTATTTTAAGAAAAAATTACTTATCTAGATTTAGATTTTTTGCAGTGTGTTGATATCGGCGCTGATGCACGTGCTGGAGGCCACAAGTCTGGTCTTGAATAGATTTCCGGGCAATTGAGTTTTGCCTTTGTAGTCTTGTCAGAGTAGCGGCAAAGCATGGAGACTTCATTCATCCCTCAACAGTTAAGGTTAGGGTTTGAGCTTAAATAATATGAGGGAACATTGAAAATTTGCCTGAACCGAGAATTCCTATTTAGTTTGGATAGTTGCATGTTCTTTTCTTGAAGAAAAAAAAAAGAAGCTTGCGTTAGAGGGCTCTCTGAATTATTAGCCTTTCTGCGGAGTACTATTTCTCCATCCCTGAGGGCATTCAAGTTTCAGCGTCAACCCGACCAGTTACAACAGTCAAAATCACATGACTCACAAACCTCTATGTGGCTGAATCAAAGTCAGCCACTGTCTATTGATACTCTGAGTTTCAGAAAAGGTGTGAGCGTTTCTGAGAGCCTCTACAGAGGCCACCTGGATAAGAGCCCCTGAGGTGTCTGGGAGGCTGTAAATATAAATGACAGTTACCAACCCTCTCCAGGCCTTCACTTCTCTTCTTGTCCTCTCTTCAAAGGGAAAGAAAAAAAGTCTGCTCAGAGCATGGGCATAATAGTATTTCTGTTAAGATTCTTCTTTCAGGTTATTTCCCCCTCAGCTGTGTTTATGCTTTTGAAAGTATGAATCTTGTTTCATTAACCCAGGGTTATCAAGATGGGAGCCCTTTTGCTTCAGGACAGACCAAATTAGAAAAAAAGTCTCATATTGGGCTTCTTCCAAGGACATATCAAATAAATTGTTACCTTAGAAGGAATGGGGAATCCCACTTCAAACTGTACATAAATCACATACCAGTGTATGCAGCTGCTCCACTGATCAGCAGCACATCATTTCACTTTTCTTCTCATATATCTTCTGCTACACTAAGCAGAAAATAGCAGTTTAATGTATTTTGGTTACTAATAATTATTTCATTAAGATTTTTAAGTGCTTGAAATGAGCTTTTCAGTGTACGAATCAACCAACCTGACATGCTTTCCCTCAACCGAACCCGTATGAAACGCTGAGTCAGGCTTTGATAAATAAAGCGCAACATAAACATAATCTGTCCCTCGTTTCTGTAATAATGAATGACTTCATAGCAGTCATGCTTAAAAATTTTATGACAAGAGCCTCTTCTGTACATGTTGGAGCCAGCCTAAGATTTTTACATGCCCTGAGTACAATTGCATTTGAGGGCACACTTGCAGACATCAGGGAGGAAGGGCAGATTATGTTCTTTTGTTCTTGAGCAATGAAGAAAAACGCTGATAACCTTTCCAACAATTACAACGTGTGTGAAATGCGAAACCAGCCAACCAACTATTGGCTATAATAAATGAGCAACATGATCTATCAGCATTTTATGATCAAATTACTTTTCAGTCCAAATGATGCAAATTAGATTGATCTTTTGATCAGGTTTGGTCTAAAATAAGTACTTTTTAAATGTGGTAATATATATATTATATTATGACTGATTTTTTTTCTGTTTGTGCTGCTATCTCCTAACAAAAAAAATATATATATTATTGGTTTGTACTGCCTTATTGGTGAAAGGATGCAGTTTAATGGGTTTCTTATCTAATCTGAGTTTAAAAATCTATAGCTAGAGCCCTTAAAACTACTTCAAAGTTACTATCCAGAAATAAAAGCATTATTCAGGTGCAGTTGAAAAAAAAGAGAAACGTAAATTTTGTATTTAAAAGTATAACTATCAGCTTGCACTTTTTGTAGTGTTCGGTCAGTGAACACATCATTAAGTCAATGTTTCTGGTGTTCAAAGGTTTCATTGGATTGTATATAAATGAGATCAGATGTCATTAAATGACCCAAGCTTTGACTGCCAGGTTGGAAAACTTACCAGCACTTGTTATTTTACTGGGAGAGAAGTTGAACTTCCTATTATCATAATTCTCTTAAAGAATTAATATTTTTTTGCTGCATTATCTTCTGTACATAAGAATGTCTTTTAAGTCTACCCAAACACACCCCAGTTCTTCACTTTGAGAATTTGATCTTTTGTGTTTCAGTAGTTCTATTCAAGGATTTGTGAGAAACTTGTGTAACTTTACCTTCTTTTTGCGGGCCTTAATGAAGGTATTCAAGAGAGTGGCATAAATCAAACTGCTGGGATGACTGTCGGCTGAGACGACTTCACTTTGATCTGATGATGTGGAGACGCCTAATGTCCTCATCCTCAGCTGCTCCTGCAGCACCTGTTTGCCAGTTCAGGCTTGTCTGGTTTGAAGGCAACACTCAGCCTCTCCATGTCGTAGACTCAAATGTGACGTGTGTAGAAACACTCCACGCACACAAAAAAGAATGCAGCTGGGTTTGTTCACTGTCCTGGACCCTGATTGATTCCAAAGACAGTTCTCTGACTCATTAGTATGCTTACAGATGACAAATTAGACAACGGTAAGATGTTCAAGTCAATAAAGCTTGTGCTTTGCGTGTGAGGTACACTTCATGCTTTGAATAGACATGCAAAGTGCTGAATCTAGGGCAAAGAGTACAATATATGTGCACCGTCTGCAACGAGAATTGCTAATAATAGCTCAAAACCTACAACACATCAGGCTGATGTGGAGCTAATTGTTCCCAGTTACTGCTAAAGGTGAGAGTAATTACATAAAACCCTGGCAACACTATGCTGCCTCTTTCTTTTGAAAATGCATAATGAGCTAGCTCGCAGGCACTCTGCTGATCAAACAAGTGTCTGATAGCGGCTTTGGTTTGAGAGAAGCCTGAATATGTTTATTTGCATGTGGAGGAGTGAGGGACTTTGAGGGGGAGATCAGGCAGATTAGTGTTAACTGACACAGACCTGTGCTAACAGACACTCCCCCTGAATTCAGGACCTGCAGTGGCATTTCCTCCCAGCTCCAGAGTACAGCAGCTCCTGCTTCTTTGCAAACATGGCCGTGTATAAGCAGCCCCCTCCTCTAGACTTGATCATTGTATTTCTAGTTATTTAACATTTTGCACTTTCCTTCCTATAAAGTGTCAGTTTTTTCAATGAATAAAATGAAATTTTAAAAATGGTAGACTTTACAATTCTTAGAAATGAGATGTCATTCACATCAAAACATGTTGTACCACTTGAAATTAAACAAAAACTATTCATGGTCTTATATAATACCCATAGCATGGAATAGAATAGAATAGAATAGAATAGAATAGAATAGAATAGAATAGAATAGAATAGAATAGAAAAAAGTTATTCAGATGTGTTAATGGCATAGAAACAGTTCAAAAGGAAGCAAACAGGTTTATGTATCACAAAAAAGTAAAACAAAATGAAAAACTTTTATTCAAATCCAGGTAAAAAAGGTAAAAAAAAGAAATGAATAGGATCTACACTAAAATAGAATAGAATAGAATAGAAAATGCATTTCTTGGAAAAGAAAAAAAAATAGAAAATAAATAAAAGAAGAAATATATTTAGTTTCGATTAGATTAAATCAGTTGTGTCTTTTTTGCAGTCTGTCAGAATAAACATTGAAGTTTTGCACAGATCCTCAATTGAATGAACTGTAGCTGTAGACTAAGGCTGTAAAACTGAGATTTGTTGTCATGCAGGAGGATGAACCATCTCTCCTGTTTCAAGTTCAAAAGGTTTTCTTCCAGGATTTTTCTTTTTAGATTCATCCATCTTATGATCCTCTCTGAACAACTTCCTGATCCATTCTAAAAACACACATCCCTGCAGCATAATACTGTCACCACTGTGTTTCACA